TGGTCACTGGATTGGGACCTTTCTCTGAATGACGAAAAGTGCGTCCATGTGTCATTTAGAGGAGACTCGGCGATGCCTTTGTCGTGCATGGTAAGAACGGACCAATAGACATCACGAGGATAGATGCCAAAAAGGATTCGGGTATCTGGCTCTCTCCAGACATTCCATTTTCGCTGCATCACGAGAAATCGGCCCAGTAGGCATTCGCCGTTCTATGGATTATTCGGCGCATCTTCTCCCGTACTACTCGCATGGAATTTCAAACACTCAATGGGGCCTACGTCAGACCGCTCCTTGAATAGGCCAACCAAGTTGTCTACTCAGGACGCACGGAAGCCGTAACCCTCATTTCGCGCGTTCAGCGAGCCGCTATGAAAATGGTTTCCGGCCTCAAGTCCGTGGACTACGAAACGCGTCTGGCGCTGCTTGACCTCATTCCCCTGGAGTACCGTCGCCTCCGAGGGGACCTCATTCTCACTTATGCCCTATTTGAACGAGATTTGGCCAACAGGCTTTCAACCGTTAGCCCGACAAACACATAGCAGGGACATGGTGAGAAGATCCCCAAGCTCAGAGCGCGCACTTTCAGTAGGCAAAATTTTTCTCATTTCGGGTATTAGCTGCGTGGAATAACCTTCCTCCGACGGTTGTCCACGCTCCTTCTAGAACCCGGTTGGAGACCCATTGGACACTTATTTATGCGGGTACTCGCGCTGGTCAACATACTGCCAGCGCTGAAAACTTAGAGAGCAGTGCTGCACCGTTTTTTCACTTGTGTCTTTTAGGTAAACGACAGCCGCTGAACGACACGAACAAAATCGATCCGGGACACTTGGGCAAAAGCCTCGGTCCTGTGTATTATCCCCTGAATCCGTGTTCTTTTCTCATCTTCATCGATACCACCATAAACCGTTTACTCCCAGCCGCTACTGTCCATGGGATCGAATGGCTGCTAGGGCATTAGCCGAGTGAGGGTACTCTTCACTCAAACTGTCCTTTCCGCACAACCAAGTGAACGGTGGAAACGAGCCAGGGGCGGTCAATGACTTGGCAGTACATATACTAAAAGTATAAAAACCATTACCAACAAACTCAGCCACACTGGTCATCGACGTCTACCTGGGGGTGGGACCGCGTGAATGGTTGGAGACATTGTCAGATCCGGATCAGTTGTGCCCTTAATGGCGTTCATGTATCCAAGCTATTGCTTTCGATGCATAGCGCCCTCCCCTATCTCACCACTTAAAGGTCTACTGGCAACCCTGTATTTACCCTCTATTTATGTCAACTCCCGCCTCCAATGTACAGCCACCTACTTCACCTCCCCAATCGTCGGTGAATGGAACTGTGACAGCTAAAACTAATACAATAAGTGCGCGGTTCTTACAGCTGGTAATAATGATGATGTTGATAGTGATCCACACGAGGTATGGTTCGGAGTCAGCGATTGTCCAACTTTTAGTCCCGCTGATTGAACAGACCAGATTTCACAGTAAGACAAGCTGTTCTATGGCCTGATACATACGTCTTGAGGTTCATGGATTTATCCCTTGGACGTCATCGATGTCTCAAATCAGCAGATATGCCCGATGTCCTCCAGATCCATGCATAAACCTCAGGTGTCACGCTACACTCAGAACTAATACAACATCCAAGACATGGTAAACGCCTCACAACTTCGAGCAGCGTCAGCAAATTGTAAGCGGCGTGCTCAATGTCTTCATGTCCAGGATAATCACACTACACTTAGCGAGTAAAAAATCATGCCAAAGGACGGGATGAATTTCGCCATTTCATCCAAAAACACCCTCGCATTCTTCTCATCATCGAGAACGAGAACGATGTCTGCATATCCCAGATCGACAAGGTTTTCACCAGCTGTTTTCTGAACACCAGAGTTTTGAAAAACTTTTAGCATTCGTCTCATCTTGTCCATCAATAAATTAAATTAGACTGCTGAGAACGGGCACCCCTGACGGAAGACACACGCGCGGAAGCTTTTGAAGAGCCCTTCATATACTCTCACACGCCTGGAATTCGGAGAATACAAAAACATTACGTCCTCAATCGTCCACAAGCTTCTATACTGGGTAATCGCGTTGAGAAGAACATGCAGTTCAACCTAGTTGGATGCGACTTGGAAATCCAGGAATACAAAGATTTGGGTCGCTTATTTGTATGTCCTTTTTCCACTACCTGGTAGGATGTGAATTTATGGTCAGAGCAGTTTCTGTCAGGCCAGAACCCCGCCTTTCGAGTCATTATTTCACGAGCCACCACAAGACGTTTAATTGACGCTAACAGTCTCCTTACGACCGGGGTTAAGCTAATTCACCCGCGGTTATGACAATCACTGCGAGCCCCTTTTTTGAAAATGAGCGTTATCAATGACTCGCCCGTTGTGTGGGACAGTCTCCTTTTCCAAAACGCAGGCAGGCAGATCAGACAAGAGCTGTCTGGTTACTTCACCCCATATTCGAACAACACGGATGGGAGGTCCTCTTCACCAGAAGCTCCGTGTCGCTCGGGAGAACATATGCAGTCATAAACCTCCGACGCCGTAGGGACTCCACGTTTACCGTTCAGGGTTCCACGTCAGTTGCAGGCTCCAGACGAGTTGCAGTTATTGGCCACGCTAACCTTTCGAAGTATTCGGCCCAACGCTCGAGGCGTTCCTTATTCAAAATGGTCGCTCCATTGTACTCCTCGATGGTCTCGCTCGCAGGTTGTTTCCGGGGACCAGTCGCACGGATCAATTGAAATAAGCTCCGAACATTGTCGACTTTCTGAGCCTCTTCCATTTCCTTATCTTTCCGTGTATACCAGAATTCATGGTCGATGTGCACTTTCACTTGACTTCTCAATTCGTCGGAGCAAGTAATGTTCTAGACCAGTGGGCATGTTCTCCAAAATTTTAGCAGCACCACTATTGGGTCTGATATCCAGTGACAAAGTGGGCCTGTTAGCGTCGCGCCATAGGCAAGACTCTCAGCGCTCTTCAAAATGTAAGACCATCGTCCAACTGTAGCACCCTTTCGGTGCCTAGCTGCCATACCACCTGAAAGAAGCTCGAGGGCTGGGATATTGCCAGGTTACGCAATCATAGACAGGGAAAGTCGAGAGTCAAAGGTCGGGTTTGAACTACGGACCTTCCGGTTAGTAAATTCGCGTTCTGTCCGCTGAACTAGCACTGTTCAAAGAGGTGGCGATCTCGTCCCAGAATGAATTCACTTCTGATGATGGAGCAGTTGGAATGTACTCCAGAAGACTGGTAAATTTGTTTGTAGCGGGCACGGCGTTGGACACTTTGTGGGTACACCACTCCAGCTACTTCAGAAGGTAGTACTGGATAAAAGCAGTCCGCAGTTAGCACACAGCTGAAGCCATCGTCCATCATTGTCCGTACGTACCGAACTCGATCCGTGTCGAACACTCAGTTGGGTCTGAGATGAGCAAGCCCTGACCACTTGTGCATTCAGGTAACCACCACGATATCCGAGCTGTCAGCTCGCCGCGACAGGGCATTCAGTACGTTGGTGTTCCATTGGTATCAAAGCAACAGTCTATTGGAGCGTGAGAAGACATGTTAAATGAACAGCGATCAACTTTCGTCCCGTGAGACTGCTTCACAGACATGGGCAGACGAATCATACACAGTCGACTATCAGTGGGTATGCACTCAAGCAAGGATCCTTCCACCCGCTGACTTGGGACAATAGAAACACCTGCACATCCTTTCACAGGAGCCTCTGGATCGCCAGAGCTGCGCAGCCGGAAGCGGGTGGAGAATAATGCGGCAGTTAGCTCTGCCACTGTGCTTGCATCTTAAATTCTTGGTTCCGATACACAGCCCACATTAATGCCAAGTAGCTCCAGTATGAAGGTAGTAGCAGCCTGTTGTCCCGCTTGCTTCGGGGTGCTGACACTGAAGGCAGCCAGCTTGGCCTCGAGAATTGAACATTGATTTTGGGATGCCTGAGGATGTTGGCGCCGGATGACGCGCAGATGTTGCTTGCAAAACTGGACGATTGGAGTCATCAGTCCTGTGTGTTGGGCCTACAAGGAGAGAGGTAGTAGTGGGGTGAGGAGAAGGGGAAGAAAAAGATGTGTGAAAGTGAAAGAAGGTAGGCGTCATCACTAGCCTATTTTCGCTTGCCCGCCCTTCTGCTTGCTACAAGTAAGGCGACCCGGCTGGAGTCATCGCGCGACGGCTGATGTGGTATGAGCTTATCTGTGTGTGTAATGCATGGATGTACTTAGGCTGGGATATTGCCATAGGACTCAGGCCTATAGAAGCGGACAATTGGGGTCCTAGACCAAAGCTGACCACAAGGTAGCGCTGTTTGATAGGGAATGCAAGTGCACTACTACGAATGTTTCAACCTCCAACCTGGTAGACCAAACGAGTGTGTTCGTCAGACCACTAACCATTGACCAACCCGGTATGAGAGACTCTGAGTGTCACACGGACACCCACCCAGAATAGCTCATTGGATCACGTAAAATTACAAACCGTCACACCACGGGTGCCGTTTCTGTGTACGGACTGAAGATTTTGAGTTGATGTTTGTGAACGTGTGAATCGAATAATTTGGAAAAAAGTGCTGATTTTCTTCCCGTGGAGTTAATTGGAACGTAATGCCTTTTTGATAAGGTACGACAACTGAGGCCGCTCGGAAATTGATTTTTCGTCGGATTTCATCCAGTTTCCATTCGGAAGTTATTAGGATCCCAAATGTTCTTATACTACCTCACATTCACTAGGTCCTCTGTAACTATGCCGAAATTCCAAAGAGCATATCATTGCTGAAATCGTCGATAACTTTCCAGTAAGTCAGGTCCAGACTTTTCACTTATTCTGGGAACCGTTTTATAGAATCAGAATCTTTGATCATGTTTCTTTTCTGCAGGTTTGCTTACAGTAGGCTTGTGGCAGTTCAAACTAGCTTTTCATCAAAGTTGTCACGCAGACAAGAGCTTAACAAAAACCTTGCATAGAAATGGGGCGCCGGTCGGTGAACACGACTAAAAGTGGAAAGTTTATGAATCCAACAGATCAGGCTCGCAAGGAGGCTCGTAAACGGGAGCTGAAGAAGAACAAAAAGCAGCGGATGGCTGTTCGGCATGCTGTGCTAAAGGCAAAGGATCCTCTTCAACTCCTGGAGGAAACAGCTCTATATGACAAACAAGGTAAGCATTGACAGGATCACACCAATCAGTTTTGCAGAGTACGACCCCAACGTTGAAGCACATCTTAACGAGAGAGTCCTTCAAGAAAAACGACGGAAGCTTTTGGAAACTTTTGATCGTCTGGTACTGCTCTATGTAGGTCTTCTGCTCCGTTCAGGTAATTTTTCAGAGGAAAGAAGATGCTGAGTACGCCAACCGACTACAAGCTGCCCGGAATGACTACGATAAAAAAAGACATGAGATGATGTTATTCTATGGTTGGTTCTCCCATAGTCTTTTCTCACTTTCAATGCTTAAGAACAAGTCAAACTTGCGGAGCGCGTGAAAACAAGTGATATTCCACTACCCAAACTACCCCAGTCACAAATGGGATTGATTGCCTCTGACATTCCTCTACCGACGGGCAGTTACGCGAAGAGTATCTTAAAGAAGTCTTTAGGGTGAGTTCTCAACTCTTCTGCTTGTCAGCTCTCAACTGGGGTTTTATTCACTAGGCTGCATTGTTTGCCTTACTTAAGGATTTGATTTTCATAAGAGATGAACTGTTGAAAATACAATCCAAAGGTACAGTATCGAAGTGTAGTTGGCAAGCAGTCAACCAGCTTCTCATTGATTTACTACACGCATGATATGTGTGTAGTTTGGATTGTTTCCTCAACTTCTGGTTGGGCTTTCTGGAATTCATGTTATCTTGTGCGCTATCCATAATATGAATCTTTTTAATATTTTTTCAACCTTGAAGCAACTGACGCAATTCTGCGTGGCACCCCTCAGTGGAATAAGTGTTACTGGAAGTTGTTCTTACCAGGTGCGTTGGACTACACATGTCCGTACGTACGTTCACTTATGCGCACACAAGCATACTTGTCTTGTGAGGATACAACAGCCTTTCCTCCCATCATTGTCTGTATGTGGCCCCGCAATTTATGGTGGTTCACCTTCCTTGTTTTCCCCATACACTGAATCTGATGTTCAGAGATATTGCACCGCCATTTCCCAATAACAGTGCAGCCTTAGTTCGCGCAACAAAAGAGCATGTCAGGATATCCATCTTTTTTGTTCGTCACCTGGAAGTTGCCTGGAGTAGTATGTCTGCTCCAGAAGTACCCTTGTTACTAGCTGTATGGATTTTTACATCATTAGAGCTCCTGGACTGCCACCCGGTATACTACCTGCTGGCCGGAAGCCACCTGCACCTCCTCCAGGACCCCCACCAGAACTTTCTGACAGTGATGGTGAAGACAGTTCCAGTGACTTGACTCGTCAACGGAAGATCCGCTTTGCTGATTCCGACTTCCCTCTGGTAAGTTTTGAACATCCACGGTATGCAGTGTCTGATCTGTTTTTGATCATCTAAACAGCCTATTATTTCAATGAAGGCAGCATTCCATATCGTCTTACCATTTTTAAAGACTGCTTTAGTAGACTTTATTTGTGGCGATGTCACATGCTTCTATCTAAGAACGTATAAGCCATCCAGCAGCGTTCTCCGCTTCAAACAACTATCTTCACTGGCACCCGTTCCGGATACACTGCATACGTTGGCGTATGACGTGGACTACCTCGCGTATCTCGTCAGCTGTTTATATACATTCGGCTCCCAGGTTAGTATAGACAAACGCACAACCTGATGAAAACAGTACCACGAGCAAACGTCACCAGACTCCGGATCAGGTTGGGTACCTGAACTAAAACTGCAGATGCAATTCACCGCCTGTATTACCATGGCCAGGCACATATTCTAGTTGTTTACACAAGTTGGGTTCATAGCATCGAACCGCTGTCGCTTTGGCGAAACGTAACAGGCATTTGTTGATCTGGCATTTCATTACCCTGAATAGCTGTCATGGTTCTCCGCATCGCTTCAGTCCAGCAAATAGCGATCTCTTGTGCCGGACGGAATTTAAGCCGTTAAATGCTAACTTTTTTGAGACGTGCTCAGAAATCCTTACAAATAACCGTTTTTAGGTTCTTCCGACGTACTTCCTACTGCAACTGCATTGAAAAAGGTATGCGCCGGAGAAGGTAACCAAGGTGTCTGGTTTGTCAAGATAGCATCCGTCTTGTTTTGTTGAGCACTACTAAGTCCGCGGCGGTGAGGGCTCTTGTGAGAGCTTGACTCAACCGCTTCCCTATCAGTGTATCATCCTGGTCCCTTTTGAACGGTAGTGTGATGTAAGCTGTTTTTAGCTGCAGTGTAGCTGTTGTATTACCATGGTCTCCATCTGATGTCACATCAGAACAGACTTTTCTGGCTCTGGCAAACACACCTTACGGGTGAAAGGAAGAAGGCCTTCGCTTCGGAAATGCCAACTGACCGGTTACAGACCACTGAGCAGGGAAGCAAAACTCTAATCTGCAAAAACTGGACACAGATCTTCTCCCGAACGAGTCTTCCTAGAGATTCGTTGCCTCCACTCATTCGTCGGCCAAATCCAAGCAAATGTTACAAAGTGGCTCCACGAATTCCGCAACAGAATTCCCTTTTTCAGTCGACGCAAAGCGAAATTCTACGACAGCACATACCACTCGCGTGCCTCCCGATCAGTAGTATCACCGTTACACACCTCCACCCCTTAAAGCTTGTTCGCATGCCATCGATTTTCATTTACCTCCGTCAGGTCGGCTTCGGCAGCGGGTCTACTCGGCCGCTCTTCGGGTGTATCATGCCATTTGCGAAGCTGCGTCCCATTCACTACTTTCGAACCCCGACCATCTCGAATGGTAAAGACGCTCCCCCGGCGGTCGGTGACGACAAACGGCCCTTGCCATCGGCCCAGCTTCCGCGACCCCAGTCCACTCCTTCCAGGATTCTGGTGATCCTTCCACTTGACCTTCGTGCCTATGGGGAACATCCGGACCTTTCTACTTGCCGTTTTCTGCTTAGTCCTTTTCTGAACGGCCGTCAAATTTTCTCGAGCTCTCCTACTTTCTTCCTCTAGCCCCTCCGTAGACAAGCGTGTTGCCGGCCACAACCCAATTTCCTGATCAACCGGAAAGCGTGGATGTCGACCGTACATCAGAATAAACGGGGACTTGCCTGTGGTTGACTGCGTGGAAGCACGATGAGCTAACGACACCATCGGCAAGTTCATTTCCCAATCACCTCCTTTGTCCGCAAGCCACTCTTTGATCGTTCGGTTATTACGTTCGGTCAGGCCATTTGT